CTAAAAGGCAGCACGCACACACAGGCTTGTTCAATGGTTGTTGTGTGCTGTCACTACAACTGCCCTCCCTTGACCTTTAGTAATAGATTTACATTTTTAGGCGTGGCGGGCGCAAACATACTGTATGTGCACACACAAAGCACATGGAGGTTGCCAGATCACGTCGTTCAACTATCAAAAGAGGCACTTTCAATTTCATGCCACTGTATGCCAATTATAGGTAAACTGCCACGTCTTCTTTCTCTCCATTTACAGATTGACATGCAGGCATGCAGCCGCTATTTTTACCTCTGCATAAAAGCAGAAACTGTTTTCACACTCCGTCAACTGGAACTGTGCCTTTCATTAAGGAAATCTATTTCGAGCCCGGCAGTGGGGAGAGGCAGAGGAGCGGGGAAAGATGAGCTCTGATTAAATCTCTCAATGAAAATGTTTGAGGGTCCGTCTGTTGTTTCATCGCCACACAGGCCCCCGCCGCTTTTCAATAGCGTCGGGCGGCGCGCATGTTTGCCGCCCTCAACTACTTTTCACGATCCGGAATCAAGACAATGTGGTTGGATATCACCCGGGACTGTTTTGTGGTTGAGTTATCTCCAAGACTCAGCTGGTGTCAATCACCGCTGTGGAGTTAGACGAGCAGGTCGGCAGGCTGTGACCCCACCATCTGTGTATGTGTCGATAGCAATTAGCGTGACACGCATATTAGTATACCAAAGATGTATGGGTAAAAAAGGAAAAAGACAGAGGCATCTACACACTATGGAGGAAAGAAATCCTCAGAGGAGGCCAACTGAAGCAAAAATAGAAGTAGAAATCCTACCCTTATGGTCTTTGAGCCGATGCACCTGAAACTTAAAGGAAAAATCACCTATGCTTAAAACATAACAGCTGCATCTACAGCCTCTATTACTGCAGTGACCGCTGTTATGATCTCATTGTCTAAACCTCCTTTTGCTTTTAATGTGGGTGAAACTGACAGGGCGTGGCGAGTCATGCTATCCCTGCATTCACTGGTAAACGCAGCTGAGGGATCCTTATCCATTAAGTGCCTGTTACCTTGGTGGTGGATCATTCATTTGGAGTGTACTCAAGGAAAAAGACTCTGAGAAGGATGCCAGCTGTGTCGTGCACGGGGGGACGATGAGGCGAGACGGCACTGCCAGACAAAACATCTTTAAATAAGGACCTTCCTCTTCTCTCGGGCATGACCACTGAATGTCTGGGTAATAAGCTCGTTGCACAGCACGACAGACACCGGGAACAGGTGGCTTCCCCACCATTGAATTTCTGCTTGTTTTAATTGATGATGTTAGCTGGGCTTTTTCTAACACCAGCGCTCACTGTCATTATTTCAGTTGCTAAGTGAAGGGGTGGCGATCATAAATCATGCACCACGTGGCACACAGTAAGTCCCTCTGGCTAGACGACATTCCTGAAAGACTTATATTTGTGGTTTGAGTGAGTTTTGGGATCATAACTCGCAGTCAGAAGCTTTGTTATGCCACCAAGCAAGAAAATGAAGGGGGAGACACTTCCATGGAAAGTATGCAGCCATGTGAAAGTGTTTAATCACTGAGCTCCTTGGGGCATTTCAACATGCCATTGGGAGCAGGCTGTCAGCACAAAAGGCAACTGTGGACACAGGTACGGATCTCTTTCTCTCACACACTCTCACACACACACACTCACACACACACACACACACACACACACACACAGACGCAAATTCCAGAATCAAAGAAATGTTACTGTTTACTGTTACCGCTTTTAGTCTTCTATTACAACAAGAGACACAAATCTCTGCTGCAAGGCTGCAGTAACGACACCAAAAATCTGTTTCCATCGGAAAGAAAAATACACTGATATACAGTCCACAGTTTGTACACATCCTGTCTCTACACAAGTGCTGCATCTACTTTGAGTTGAGCCAGGTTTCCAGTGTGTACACATGGGGACTTCCAATCTCAGGGTTTACAAGCACTGGGACATGCAGTCCCCTTAGATAAAAACTTAGTGAGTCTGTGCTGTACGTGTTGCGCACCATAATCAACCTCGTACAAAATCACTGACTGTGCTAGGACAACTAGAAGACAGAGAGGCTCTCCATATTCCACTTTTTCCATCTGACAGGTGTCCCAGTGAGTACAAAACAAACGTCTTTGGTCCATTTCGGGGTTCCAATCTAAACATAATACAACAGATAAATCCTGCTACCATGACTGCAGTCTTTCCTGATTGCCGTGTGTGTGTGTGTGCGTGCGTGTGTGTGTGTGTGTGTGTGTGACTAGAGGACAGGTAGAGGCAGGGACACTTTGATTATGAGGGAGAGAGAGAGAGCAGTGCAGCTACTATCCTCCCAACAGCATCTCCTCTGCTTCATTAGACTGTCTCTGTCTGTGTTCGGTCCTCGTGTTTGTTTCAGGCGATGGGCAACACGAATCAAAGCATTCTGAGGTTTGCTCTCTTACTTCCTGCGTGCAGAGGAGGAAAGCACTTATACAGCAACAAAATCCTCTCCGGGGACAGGAAAGAGGAGTGAAGGGGAAAGCGAACAGAGCGACGCAGCACTTTGATTTCCAGCCCACGACGGTCTGCAATCTAGAAACCGATAGCTGTATGTACCGAGTCCACACAGGGGCCGGTAACAGTGATACGATGGGAAGAAGGCTGTTGTACGCAGCCCAAACTGCTTTAAAGTCGGAGTCCGAGCAAAACAAAAAAGGATGAGGGAGGGGAAATGATCCTGTCTTTCCTCTGCTGTGTAAACATCCCCGATGGGATGGACAGAAATGAATGTGTTCTGCATTTGGAGACGCAGGGATGCCAGAATTAGTTAACACAAGAGATGCATCATTGTCTTCATCTTGGGACATCTTATTTTGCCAGTGTATTACGCTCACTGGAACATTTTCAAACTGTGGATTATGAGAAGTTTGGGTAACCGTAAAGAGCAGAGTATGAATGAAAGAGACTAGTTTGCACAAAGGGTCAATTCTGAAGGCCAAAATGTAGTCTACACAATGTTATTCTTGAACTATACGTACGCTGGACTTACATGCACAGAGGCACATTTATCTTTAAAGTAACAGTCTACACCCTTGCTCTGTTTTCTATGCAGACGTTGTATTTTGTCTCTCATGCAGAGACACAGGTTTGTCAGACAGGTTTCAAAATCCTGCTTTTTGCTCATCTTTAGTGGCCCATCATTTCTCTTCCTTAGTCGCGTCACAGAAGCTGAGGGTCTCGGAGGTCAGCCCCTTGACAAATGGTGCAACTCATTGTGAGGAAGAAGGAGCGAAGAACAAAAGAGTGAAAGGACATTTGTTGCTGCCAGACCGGGGCAGCGACCTCGCCATTTGGACAAACCCACGTTTTTTTTGGTGTTTTTTAAACCGATGTCCACTTGAGGAAATTCAAAGCTGTGCCGCACGCATAAAGACAGCCGATTGAGAGGCCCAAGTACTGCCTGTCCATAGAATATGCTCCATTACTAATACACCCGCCCACACACAAACACACACACCACACACCGCTGCTAGCCTTTTACATAATCCCATGGGACCTTAGTCCCTCCCCGAAAGAGTGAGCCTGACACGAGCCTCTGATTCAACCCTAAACATTCCCACTAACCCGCTGCGCGCACACACACAACCCCCCCCCCCCCCCCCCCCCCACCCCCCAAAGGTAGGGGGCCCCAGGTCGGGCAGGTGCTGCAGCAGCCCCACAGAGTGATGGCCGTGTGTGTGCGTGAGTGCGTGTATGTGTGCGTGCGTGAGTGCGTGTGTGTGTGATAGTAGGGGCCCGTTTGCCGTCTGTCAGTCGAACATGCTGCATGCATGATCAGACAGTCTGTGTTTCTCTTCTCATGGGGTTTCCTGGCCTTATCAATGTGTGTGTGTGTGTGTGTGCCCGTGTGTGTGTGTGTGTGTGTCCGTGTGTGTGTGTTTCTTACAAGATCGGTCTGACCGATGGATCAATGCATCTAGGATTATGCATCACCCCAATCGCATCATCAGGGTCAATGTGAGCAGCCGACATACGCTCCAATGTGCTCCCTGCTCCTCTGAAGCTCTCGTCCCTGCAGGAGGTTGGTTTGACAAAGCCGCGGCTCGCTTACATGTTATGCCGTGATTGTCACCCAGCAGGCGAAAGGATTTAAAGCTGCACCAGGCAAGATTTTGATCTAAAAATACATTTGTCTGATCTGCCTGAATCACAAACCGGGCCTGAAGGAGTCATCTCCTCCGGCTGAGATCTTGTTGTTTCACCTCATTTAGTCAAATTAAATTCCCGTGCCGGGTATGTTTACCAACAGAGAGAGAGAGACGAATCAAAAAGAATTAGTGATGCAAAAACACACAGAGAGGCAGTGAGTGAGCGTACAAAATGTCTGTATTCAGCAGCATGAGATCTTTTGGGATGTTCTAAGCTGCACGGATCAGCGAGGATGCCAAACGTGAGCGCTTCGTGTGAAGTTTAACACTGCGACATGAGTTCTGGGTGCTGAAGTAAAAAATGAAATTCTGACAGCTACCACTTGGTGCCAATGTGGAAAATTTCCCAGTGCAGGTTTAAGTCACTTCCACTAGTAATAAAGCCAGTGTTACAGCATAATTACAATGGCAAGGCCATGATACATGGACAAAATCTGTAAAAAATAAAAAATAAATACGCTATTAAAAGTACTTAATAGAAAGCACATTTTCAGATTAAAAAGTAACTTTATCTCGTTTTCCTCTGATGCTTGTGGTGCGTCAGTTTGGTCCAAAATCTTCCCCATGTTTCATGACCTTTAAGCATGTGTGCAGTGTTTCATCTTGTCAACACATCTGCGTTGGTTCAAGCTAATAACGGAGGTCACCCACAGTCAAAACACACACACACACACACACACACACACACAGAGATGGGCGCCTTCGAAGACAACACTGCTCCCACAAAGAGTAAGAAAAACATGCAAATGGTGAGTGATTCAAGCTGGGGTAGCTTGCAGTACATACCTTGTCAAACAGAGACTTCCATTGCTGAGACGAGGAAAGAGAAAGGAAATGAAGGAGAGAGTGAGAGGAAGAAGATAGGAAGGCAAAAAAACAAAAAAATCTCAGAGACAGGTGCCGAGTTGGAGAGGAGCATCTGTTTGGCAAAGATAAGTGTTGGCCAAAAGGACTTCCCTTTAATTGCAGGGTAGAAATCACATGCTGTGATTATCTGATCATTGTGTTCAATGAGCCACAGCAAAAGATAAAAAGGCAACAAAGGGTGGATCATTATGTGTATGGAGCTTCTTATAGGAGGCTATTTGAATTTGAGACAACTAATGGAGCAAGAGTGGCGCGCTGTGTGAGTGTATCCCTAGAAAGGATGTACTGTGTGTCTTTGGTGGCTGCTCTCCTTATCACAGTATTTAAAATCCCTTAATCTCCAGTTATACCATGACATTTACAAAGAATAACCTTCACAACTTAATTTCTGGCTCATGCTTTGACATTCTGCTCCATACAATCAAACGTATACCCATACAGCGTGAAAGAAAGTGGGTGTCCTGCTGCGTAATTTTACAAAAATGGGAAAAGGGTAACAGTGCACTTGAGGTCCCTCTGTAGCCTACTGCATGTAAACTTACGTCCTCTGGAGCCACGGGGAGAACATCGGTGCTCTCCAAAACCTCGATCTCTTCGCCCTCCGCGTTGGACGCCACCGCCGGAGAGGAGTTCACGGGCGCCTCCCGGTTTACGCCCGCCATCCTCGGACTGCTCTTCATATACCAGCGGAGAGCAGCGACTCGGTGCTCAGGAGCGACTCCACATAGCTCACAATCCCATCTTTTCGGCCCCTATGTTAGCAACGACAAGCAGGCTAGAAAGCAGAGCATCGCGCTCGCTTGTGCATCCCTCCGAGTCGGACCTGTCTTGGCTTTTGGACGGGCGGATCAGTCCAGGTGAAATAATAGACGCAGATAAATTAAAAAGGTGTGCGCACTCCAGTTATTCCCAGCGCGCTTCCACATAGAACGGGCAAACAAATCTTCACCAGCGGGGGGAAAGTTGATTTGGTGACAGTTTAGTAATAGTTCAGGGCTGTGAAGTCCCTCAGCGGTCTCACGCCACCGTCCGCCTCATCGTTCAGTCAGCATGTGACAGAGGTTAGTGCAGGAGCTGGAGAGGAGCCTGGGCGTGTTTTGCTCGCCACGAACAGAGAGGCAGAGGTCCAAGTTTGTGAAGCGGCTGCGGACGCACGTTTGCAGAGTGAGTCTCGTCACCTCGAGAGATGCGATGCGTCGTCGGCAGAGCGCAGATCTATCTGAAAGAAATAATGACATCATCAGGCACTGCCGACAACATGAGACGTAGCACAGAGATGACAACCCGGACGAGATGGCGCGCGGAGTCTCATATGGCTGCTCCGTAGGGGAGCCGCTGAAAGTCGAGTGAAACAGCGTGGGCACCGCCACATGGCAAAGAGAGAAGTATCTTGTTGCCCCCAAAAAATGGTTTGGTGCGTCATGATACCTGGCACGCACGGGGGACAGCCGTCTGCTTTTCCCTGGCGCGTGCCGACAGGGAGCCTCAAGGAAGCCTCAAGGGAGAAGGGCGCAGGGGGGGTAACACACCGACCGCCTGTGTTGGGACGTTACTCGGTTCAGCTCCAGGAGACTTCGGTACTGTGCTCCAGCCGCATGCGTACCTCCAGGCACGGGGGGAGAGAGGGGAGCAGGGAGAGAGGGAGGCAGGGAGGCAGGGATAGATTTGGCCGGCGGTGAGGGAGGGGATCACCAGCCCCTCCCGCTCAGGGGTTTCGAGGAACTCCGTCTCCCATGGCTGAACAGCTCCGTCACTGCCTCAGAGGTTCTCTCATGTGTGCATGATGTTGAGTTGCAGTAATTATTACAGTCTAATATTCAGTAATGTAGCCCTTTCAGATACCACTTTTCAATAAGGCACCCTTCATTGAGAGTTCAAAGGGTTTACTGATAAATGGTGAATACATAATTTGCCAATATTCACGAGTGGATGAGGAATGTTTCGTCATCCCTTTGGTTTATTCTTTGTTTGATATAAATGTTGGTAATACACCATTAATAAAGGGACATGAGTTCCTCGCTTAATAGCAAGATGTCGTGTTTGCAGCTGTACATTTTAATAGGCCATTTAATAAGTTATTAGCATGTTTTTTACACATTTTCATTTAATTAAATGGTTGTTAATTCATGTATTTTGGTCCAATGACTGTTAAGTAGTCTCGTGGTCATAAGAGGGGGCTTCCTAAAAGAAAGGGATTAGTTAAACCTTAAATGCTTTAGAGATGGTGCATCATATTGAAGCGGTCAAAGGTGTCAATATTCCACACTGTTTTTCTTTTGACTAACTTCTCAGTGGTGTTCATTGACATTTAATGCAATCTCATCTCGTGTTATAAATTATTATTCATCATGTCTCACAAAAATAACAAACTCTTTAACAGTGGTTAAGGAAGTAGCCTATGCAAAAACGTTACTGTAGTAAAAGTACTGATACCACCCTGTAAAAAATACAAGTAAAGTCCTGCAAAAATATGTGTAGTCAAGACAATTTCAGTATTGCAAGTAAACATACCCAATGCAGGGAAAACCTCAAAATTATATAAAAAATATTGATAAAATAAAACAATTAAAAGGAATAGCATTATATTTACATTTGTGAAGCTGGAACCACGAAATATTTTTGCATGAAAAAGTTGCCAGTATAATTTCTGTCAATCCACATATTGTTCCAGCTATACTTGTACTATTAGTTTGATCTACATCAAAACAACACACTATTTTACATGTTCTTTGTGTTTTGTCTGCCATAATCTTGTAGAGTAAAATGTAGCGGAGTAAAAAGTACAATATTTCCCTCTGAATTGTAGCTTAGAAGCATAAGTGGTACGTAACGAATAAGTATAAGTACCTCAAATTATTTAAGAACACTGCTTGAGTAAATGTGCTTTGTTACATTCCACCACTGAACTTAAATTGCTTCCAGGCTCAGAGAATAGGGAGTGTTCGAGGCTGTAAACTGCCCCCCCCCAGTATATGCGATAGCATTGCCATGGAAACAATATGGCCTTGGGGGTCGTTTCCTGATTCCCACACAGCAGTGCTGGGTTAAAGTTGGAGTCTGACATATTGTTTAAAAGAAGAGCCAGCAGCCATTCTGTATCATGTACGCTCAGACATCAGCAAACCAAGGCCAAATGTTGAGATTCTGTATTTTCATGTGGTCTTGTGTGGATGGGAAACAAGTTTTATGTAATTTTAGGTTATTGTGGCCTCACCCATAATTCTGACTTGTGCAAATATTACCAGCCTAAAAATAATTTACTTTTACCTCTCAAGTATTGATAATCATTAAGACATAAACTGACTGAATATAAGGACTTCGAGGCATTACGCTGTTGGGATAGCAGATCTTATTTGCATGAAGTTTTAACCAGAATCTACATTTTTATCTTTAATATTAACAGCATTTTTTTTCCAATTGTTCCTGGGAAACCAGAAATAAAATCCTTCATAAGACATAAAACAAATTACAGGGTGTAACCGCACTAAACTGTGTATGGAAAGAATGAATAATAGGACCGACGCTGCAAAATTAAAATCCTAATTAACAAAGTAGATGAATCCATTAATAAATAAACCATGTCACAGTCTCCCAAGGACAGATCACATTGCATCTTTCATATTACCAGGGAGCAAAGGGAATTATTGTCTTGTTAGCTACAGGCACCAATGGGAATTTCCATTAAAAGCAGCTAATTGGACAAAATAAGCTTTGACGTGGTAGCTTTCACAAGTCATCCGCAAATGTCAGCTGCAGAGATGAGACATGAGTGGCAGAGGAGGCAAGAGAGTGTGAACAAAAATGAGAGAAAGAGACAAGATACACAGCAGGAAAAACACCTGCTGTGTGGGAAAACTGAGCTCATGTTGACAATAAATTACCAGCTGGGGAGTGTTGCCTCTTTTTGACAGGAGTCTGTCTCGGGTGTATTTTACAGGCACTAACTGTTCTCTGAGCCACAGCCAATTACTATATAACAGTATAGCTTAGCTATATAACAGTTTATCAACTTCAGCCATTTATCCACAACTCATAGCTAACAATTTCAATAATGAATCGATTACTTTTAGATAACTATTTCAACCATTACTCAATCTCAATAGTTTTAGCTGCACTGCTATTACTGTTAGCTTTTTAAACCATTCATCCCTCACTTTTAGCCAAGTGTGTCAGCTTCTCTGCTTGTGTTACAGCTGTTACTCTTTGTATCAACCACACACACACACACTTCTTTAGATTACTTTACCAGTATCACCAGAAAGTATAGGTAGTGCTGGCAGAGACTTCATTTTCATGGTTAAATAGGAGTTCTCATGCAGCACAGTGTCCGACTGTCTCACATAATTACAGATGCTCATTAGTGAGAACCAGTGGTGCTTTAAATGTCCTGACAAAGCAGCTGGACCAGAAAATTCAGCTTCAGATGTCCAAATGCAGTCTATCTTAGAACTTATCGATTTAACAAGCCCAAATTACAATGGGAGTGTCCTTCACGGTCTCTTGAGTGGCCCAGGGTACTGCTTGATTTAACACAATTTTGGGTTGTGCTTTTAAAAAAAGTTTGTGGGTTAGTCAGTCAGTCTAAGGTCTGGAAGTGATGAAAGTTCAAGGTCAACACTTTGAGTAAACCAGATAATCCGCTCAGCCACATCCCTCGTGAAGTCCTCCACATTCTGCCCAGTTGGTTTAACTAAAGCTGCTCCAGACTAATATGCTTGGAGAGAAAAATGTCATTTTTATAGAACATGGTTCGAGTAAATTAGAATCAGAATTGAAGATGTCCCAGTTTTTAAATCACCCAAATTATTTGATATTTACTATGAACTAAAACATGCTCTGAATACCATCTATGTGGGTCAAATCCATTATTAGTCCAATAATAAAAACACACTGAAGAGCCAAGGGTGCTGTTAACTTACAGAGGTATCAGCTTGATGGGCACAGTTCATACATTGTAATTTTATTGTTCTTAATGAGTGGCTTCCATTTGGAGAGAGAAGGCCCATTCGTTTAAAAGCTAAATGGGTTTCATACCTTGATCATATCTTTGTACCGTGTTGGATAAATACAATAAAGATACTATATCTTAGCCATGAATGTGCTTCCTATATACTGAGAAAACTCACCTGCCTCATCATCTGACCCTGGTCCTTCTTCCCTAGCAGACCGGCTCATTATGGTGTACTCCTCTAATCACATGAACAGACTAAGTATACTTCACATGGCTGCCACTCGTTTTGTTGACAAGCGAGCCACTGGTGACATTTTATTCAAGCAATGCTGCCCTCTTGTGTCAGTACCATGCTTGTTCCTTACAATTTGAGTTGACTAAATATAACCTATCATTTTGTCAGAACAGGATCAAAATAAAGTTGATTTAGTGGTGAATTATCAGATACAAAAGCATATTAAAGAAGCTCTGAAGGTCACAAATAATTTGCAAAGCTTCCTTTTCGATACTTAAAGAATACGGTCTGCATCGTGTTACAAGCATCACTGTCCCACAGCTGTTAAGAAAAACACAAGAGAGACAAATTACCTTAATGCAGTCACACGAAAGCAGGCCGTTGCTCGGCTAAATCTTTAAATCTCTTGGAAACTGAACGGAAATTCCATCACACCAGATGTCATACAGATATTTGTTTATTGTAAACAAAGGCAGGGCTGAGTGAATACATCATACTGGACCATTTGCATGGAAATTAACATCTGGGGCCAGATTATTGCATTTTCTGCGATCAGTCGAGGTGAGCGGGAATCACAACAAGGGCTGTCAAACTTAACCAGTCAGCACTCCTATCAAACTTTACTACTACAATCCCTGGTTTATTGGGAGATGGAAAGCGATGTGGAGAACTTTTGGTGGTTCTTTTGTACAGTAAGTCGTAAAACGCTGGAATGTGATCGGAAATTCAGAAGCATGCAAATATAAAATGTACAGAGTGAATGTAAAGTGTCAATGTTAAATATCTTGGCGCATACACACACAGACGAGCTGATGAAAAAGTGACCAAGATCGCAGCAGACCCTTCCACACATTCACATCCACTGATCAAACCCTGACCTGCTGAGACGTACAGACGTTAAAAATAAAGTGTGCATCCAACTGTTTAGGCCTGAAAGGCAAACCGATTTCTGTCATTGTGAATATCAACGGCAATGTGCGTGTGTTCATAACCAGGCTGTTGAGCTAATTATACCTTTGCATTCAGTGTTTTGAGTTTGAGTCAGACATGGCTCTTTTGAACAAAGACAAACCAATATACAGTCAACTATATTATATATACTATTTACACAGTTCAGTCTAATAAAAGCATCAGTGTTATTGCAAACCTCACATTTCGCAATCCCCATCACAGCTGAAATTGTTAATTTCATTCAGCAAGCAACCAAACAGCTATATACGTATGCAACTCCCTCATGTTAGTCACTACAGCTCATCAGCAGCTTACCCTCATTTTAATATAAATATAGATATATTACTTTGCAAACATTTGAAAACAAACAGATTAAGGAAATTAGCAATTTTAGTACAAAATTAAATATTGTTCTGTTTTTATTCCCATGAAGAGAAATCGACAATGGAATGAAAATGCAAAACAAAGGGATGTTTTTGACACGTTTTCCCTTCCCACCAAAACAAAGACAGATTTTCGTTTACTAAATGCAAGATGGACAGCCTAATGTCGTGACAGGTCAAAATAGCTCTACATGTACCATGGGGGTAAAGAGGGTTGGACACGGGTGCCTGAGAATCACCGTGGTTTGAGCAGCACCCGGTACATGGCGAAGCCCAGCACGGCGAACACCGAGGCCCCGACGCTCGCTCTCAGCCAGAAGGTCGAGCTCTTCAGGTCTGCTTGGCTTACACGTCTGTTAAACAGAGAGAGAGAGAGAGACATAAATACAGAGAGGGAGTGAAGGGAACGACAATAAAGAGTACAGAGATATATAGAGACGACGTGTCGCTGGGGAGGATGATGTGAATGTAAATAAGACGAACCAAAGGAAAATATGGATGAAATGACACATGCTGACGCATGCTGAGAAAAAAGCCAGTCAAACAGATGACGGACATGCAGGATTATAGTTAGGACATGAGATAGCAAGAACCAGAAATTAGCTGTGACATCTCCGTTAGATGAGACGGCTGAGGCACAGTGACACGAGCAAAGATGACAACAACAAGGAAGTTGACACCGACCGAATGACAATGAGACCGAGATCAGAATAGAAAAGTACATGCTGTCAATCCCACTGCAGTACAGGAAGCAACATCAGACGGAAAATGAAGATATCAGAAGGGTTTCTTAGATGTCAAAGGACTGACAGCACACCGACAGAAGTCGGTGCCTAAAAATACAACAACTTTGCAAAAAATGGCGAGCAAAAAAAAAAAAAAAAAAGAGGAGAAATGAACGTGAGAAGCGTGAGGCGACGATGCCGACCAATTGAGAGACTGATCGGGTGTAAAGAGAGGGTTGTTAAAAAAAAAAAAATTAAAAAAAAAAAAAAAAGTGTAAGAAGGACCTTCTGAGTACAACAGCGTAGAGTTTGGCCCTGACCGTCTGCAGCAGCTCAGAGTTGAGGAAGTTCTGACACAAGCAGAAGGTGCACCGGTTACAAGTGCACATGCAGCGCAGCCGAGCGTGGCTGAGGAGAGATATGGGGAAGACAAAACACCAACACGCATATATTTAAAAAACACACACAGAAGAGGAAGAAAGCAAGATAAAGAGTTTTAAGATGCCACCAACAATGAATGAGTAGCATGTGGCTCATCAGCAGGGAGCCAGAACCCATGAACGACAAGGAAAACAAGTACACTAATATAATCCCTGGATTATTCTCAAAATACAGTTGAATAATGACAAAACATCTTGAATGTGTGATGTGCAGCGAGGCACTGCAACCTGTGAGCCTCTGGGAGAGATCAACATGACTGCACAGCAAGGGAAACACGTTTACTCAGTGGGTGCAGTGGATTAATGGAGACTGAAGTGCATCACCTCTGGTACTGACACTTGCAGAGAGTAGGAGCATCCCGCAGAGGGAGCGGCTTTATCCACAGGCATGGAGTAAAGCCGAAGACACTCGCTCAGCAGAGCTTTGTATCTAAACTGTAAACTAGCACATAAGGTGGACTGCAGATGAAAAAAAACAAGGCTTCCCATCTGCACACAGGATTTCCTGCCATTTGTGACCCAGCTGCAATTCCCTTATTTACACACTATTAGGAACAATAGTGAGTGACGTATGGAAGCCCTGAGATCTAAATAGTTTTCTCTCCTGTGTTTGTGACTTAAGTTTATGAGTTTTAATCTCTGCATGCGCTCTAAACACAAAGTACATATATTGTGTGTTAGAAAGTTATGAAAATGAAAACTAACTTGGCAGGAAACATGAACGTTTGTAGTCCCATGGGGTAGTGCTGCACTTCGGCCTCTTGTGGCTGAAATGAGTACTACAACAATAAACACTTGGAAGTATTCAGTAAAGTATTTCACCTGCTTTCACAGATAACATGTTTTTTAAAGAACAAATAAAGATTATCCTGGTAAAAAACTATTTTCTTCACCTGTTCTGAATTCATAAAACACAAAAGAGAAAACTATTTAGATCAGACTTAGATCACCAGAATTATTTATTTTTTTCTCCCACTTCAGTAGTGATGATTTGTACCAACTATCATACAGTATCCTAACATCATAGTTCTTTATGAGCTGGTTGCTTTACCATCAAGAAATGTGATCATAATAGCATGTTAGCTTTGCTTCGTTACAACTAATGCAGTAAAACACAAAATACATCCCCCAGAACTAAACATTGTAACCGTCATGAAGGTAGGTTTTATTGTATTACACAGCATCAGTTTTAGCTGAGTGTATATGATGAATTGGCAAGCAAAGGACTGTATATCCTGCTGTGACTCTAGAATGCTTTAAACCAGAAGGTTGGGCCTATAAACAGAGAGAATGGTAAAACTTGAGTTCTACTTTGCTTGGGCACCTAAAGTGCAAAAAGGACACGAGTCTCCCTACTTACGGGTACATGGCCATAGTGGTAAGTTTGGTGTAGATGTCTCTGCTGGGTGCTGCTGCAGTGTTACAGGTGAAGGACTGGGGGGGTGGCATCTTGTGCCTCCTACAGAACTCCAGAGGACTGCAGCCGTACATCTGTTTGATCTCGGGCAGGTCTGACTTCGCTGCTATCATCATACACGGGACCTTGCTGTCCATGAAGTATTGCTGAGGAGGGAAAGAGAGGGGCGACCGCGGTTAAGGTGTCGGTTCCCTTTTTGATGTAATCGTATGCACAGTTTTACCTTGAAGACTTTGGCGCAGTACTCAAAGGAGTACGGGTTGCTGACATCATAGACCAGGCAGACAATGTCACAGGCCAGATCGGCATCAGAAAGGTAGTCGAAGTCAGGGAACACTTCGTGAAGCTGAGAGGGGCAGAGGGGAGAGAGTCAGAAGAGCACGGCCGAGCTCCAACAGTTAGTCACATGTCGGATAGTTACCAATATTCTCTGTGTCACTGTGGCCAGCTGGAGGGGCCTCGTTTACAACCACGGCATTAAAAAAAAAATGTGCCAACAGAGGAGTGCAGCTGATGCGTTAGTCTTAGTTTACTCAAGCACCTATGTTTCAACTTGCTAATACTATTTCAACCATTGCGCGTTCATTGCTAAATGTGCCTAGCTAAAAGAAGTTTTGATATGAATATCATAAAATATAGCATGCAAATATAATATTGGTGAATTTGTTCATTATTATTATTATTATTATTATTATTATTATTGTTTTAGCACTGGAAAAGCTGTATTGAGACACAAGTCGCAATTGCAAAAATAACATTAGTAATTGAAGTAACACAAGGGGTATCTATGAAACTCACGAGAAGGTATTTCTCCTGGCCGTAAACATAGGTGGTGCTGATGGCATAGTAGGATCGGTGTTCCTCTCGGATCGTTTTTTGGCGCTGGGAGGAGAAAAGAGACGTCATGTAAAAGCAGATCAGGACATAAAGCTGACTGTAAACTATGATTGAAAGCAGCAGGGGGCAAATTCTGTTCGAGTCTGTATCGATACTTCCCCCATTTATACAAGAAAGAGAAGTATGCTGTGATAGTATACATCTGTAATCCGGTTATATTTCCATTTACCATGTGGTTTCTACCCAGGAACGCTTGCAGGAAGCCGCTCTTGCCGCTACCAATGTCTCCAAAGACATTACAGCGGAAGACGCTGCGCTGGGTCTGCTTCTTCTGCAGGTCAATCTTCTTAGCTCTGGTCACTGTGCGGGGGGGGGGGGGGGGCATTAGAGGATCAGTTCAGACTGCTGCTGTACACAACTCACGTCAGTCAGCAGCAACATTCAGATTTAACTGTCCACTGGTAGGTGTTATGTCAGTGTTGATTTACTGTGTTATAATGTACATGTCAACTATATTTGTGATATTACAAGAAACTTCTCCACAGATCTACAACTGGATTATTTAACATGAGTACGGAGAAGAAGATGCGATGGTGTGATTCACCTGTAATTCCCGATGCGTGGGACTCCTGCTCAGCAACTATTGAGTAGCCGAGGTAACCCAAATACTCCAGGCATCGTTGGACATCCAGATATGTTGTTAACCTGAACAAACGTTGACGGCAAAAGATACAAAACGAGAGATTAATTAAGTAAAGGAATCGATGTGACTGAGGTTGTGTTGAATACATACGCAAAGGGAAATACTTGAACATTGGCGTTTTCAAGATAACAACGTTGAAAAGTTCATGTGTAAAATTCGAAGTAAATTTGATTGTTTTTTTTTTATTCTTTTAGGGTGATGGCGTCATAAAAATATGGCGACAGACATTCTAAGCTTGGTTCGAACACCTAAATAGAAGCTTTGAATGTAAAACAATGATATTGTGCACAGCCCTAAACTTAACTAGTCGCCACTTACGTCCACTGGGAGAGATATCCCTGGTAGGTGATCCAGCCCTGGTCATTAGTGCAAACTGTATTATTGACATCTGGACCCCAGGGCATGTAGGGGAACACATCAAACAGGTCCCTCGTCTCCTCCGGTGACAAGGCACAGTCGCGGTCCTGATAAACGCAAAAGTCGGTTACTGAGAAAAATGGTTGCTCAGGCCGGGAAATATTTCCCTTAGTTTGCCGCCTGTCATCTCTACCCGAGTAAACAAACATGATGAACTGGAGCACTCATCCACAGTTGGACATTAATCAGGACGACAGAGAGCAGATCATGGTACAAGGCTGCCACTTCCACTCTTTTGACTTTCACTCTAACCTCGCGGCTAATTCTCCCGTCAATCCCTCCTCAGTGACAACACGTTAAGTCACGCCTCAGCAGGTGGTCAGCATCGGCTACGTGGGTGTATTTTTATTTTTTGTGCCGTACTGAGCAGCTTTCTGTGAAAGCCTCTCCGGGGCAGAGGGTAAAGTAAATACAGAACCGGGTTTACAGGATTGTACCTTGTCATGTTTGTCAAAGACGCTCTGGAGGAAGAGGTAGGCATTGTGGTTGAGCTCTGTGGTGCAGTCTGGAGGGAGCTTCAACCTAGAGACAAGGATATATAAAAGAGGATAAATGTTATACTTTGCTTAGTAGTCCTCAGTAGAAATATTAGTAAGTGAGGTGAAATTGTGCATATTAATCCTTCCTTCCTCATAACTGCAGTGTTATGTAAGATGCTGAATCTATTACCTCCTTTAAGGGGTCAACAATGCTGACGGTTTAATCAAAATGAGCAAAAAGGCACCAAAAGTGAAAGAAGATGTTTAAATTGAACCAAAAAGGGGAGTATTGGGTTGGAGGAAAGTACAGTATTACCCTTGAACGAGTAATAAGGATGGAGTGGATGCTGTGTGTCTTAAAAAAAAAAAAAAAAAAAAAAAAAAAAAATAGGACACTCACGGAGGGAAGAGGTAGTCCTGATTTAACTCCAGGTCGTCGTCGTACCCAAACCTTCTCAGCACTGTCCACGTGGTTTCATGGCGCCCTCGCTGGATGAACAAGGTGTGGAGGAACAGGAAGCCTGGAGGAGAACAACACAATCAGGAATAATGTGACCTGTGTGTGTGTGTGTGTGTACACGTAAATGTGAGGAAGGAAGGCCGATCCGTGCATTCCTACCTTTCAGAGTGAGTCCGTTGTCGCACACTCCGTCACTCAAATTCTTCCTCACCACATTTTTCACATCCTCCAACGCCTGAGACTCCAGCGGGGTGTTGAAGCACGTCCGCTGTGAGCGATCAGACAGTCGCATCGTTTTTTTATTTATTCTAATAAACCCATTGTTAACTTTGTTAACTACAGCAGTCAACTCACCTGGAAGAAATTGAGCTCATGATCGTTGAGAATCCCATCATTGTCCAGGTCAGACACTTTGAAGATTCGAGTCAGGGCTTTGACACAAAGTGGCTTCATCTGGGAATCAAAAAGGCTAAATTTTAAAAGTGAATAACAAAATGATTTCGTTATTCACCTGCTGACATTCGGTGATGTATTCATACTTTTTTTTCCTGACAACCACAGAGTTCACACAGTGCATTTCTGCTCTTACATCTTTTCTCTCCGGACAGTAAAGAGGACCTGTGGGGTGCAGGACCGCCTTTTGTGCGTAGTAGAACAGCTCTGAGATGTTCTTCAGGTTCTTTGCTGAACACTATAAACAAGAAAAATAAGAAGGGGGTTTAATAATAACAATAATAATAATAATAATAATAATGTACATACTGTTTACCAATACGCTCTACAACACAAAATACCCTTGTGGCATTAAAACACCTTTGAAACCCTGTGAAAGTACAGTGTCCTGGCAAAGCTCGGCCATCCCCGTCTGTGTGTGTATATACTGTACATGTGTGTGTTGGAGCTAAGTCAGGGTATTAACACACAGGATCTGTCTGAGCGACAAGCCTGGTTTAATTAACCAGTCTGAAAAAAAAAAAACGTTCAGGTCACAGCGGGTGTTAAGTATTTAAATCCTCTTGGACAGTTGTTGTGCTTCCTCGTTTTAAACACTGAACAGGAGCAAAATTAAAAAAAATAAAAATTAAAAAAATAGCGTCTTTCATGCAAAGTAGAAACTAGAATCATCGCCTCGCGGTTGTTTGCCTCCAACAATCAGTAAAGTTGCGGTTTACATCCATGTCTGTCCAAAATTTCTTCACTTCATCCTATTTGAATTTTGGGTAAAAAAATTGTCATAATTAGCATATGAAGTCTTGTGTTATGGACCCCAAACAAGTGACCTTTGACCTTTGACCTCTTTGGACAACTTCAAGAATCACATTACCGACAACAGCCGACATAAACATGGAAGAACAAAACGTCATAAAGGGTGTTAACTTAAAAACACTCCTACTCTGTCTGCGGTCTGAACCAACAGCATTGCATTACTTGAATATGGAAGCATTCATCAGGCAAATGTAAACAGACCAGCAGTCTCGCAGCATTAACTGCAATGTTTTACTGTTCAGGAACAGTAAACGGAGCCACCGCTCTCTCTCTCACCTCGACACAAGTCTCTATCTCACTGTGCCGGTTCATGATGGGCAGTATGGTCTCCATACTGCTGTGTTCCACCAGGTCAGACTTGTTCCCCACCAGAATCAGAGGAACCCTGAAACAAACACACACACACACACACACACACACACAGCATTTAGTTTACAAGAATAAAAACATGCAAATCTAACAGTGACCTTTGGTTTTGTGCAAAGAACACTTTTCTTTTCATGGATTTTTTTGTATTTACCCTCTCAGAAAAGCCGTGACTCATTTCACCGTGAAAACACAAAAATGAGAATAAGGCTGAATCTGCGAGTTTGAAAAAGAATATGCTGCATTTCCACTTCAGCTCTCTGCTAACAGAGAAGCATTTGTGAGACATTTTCCACCCCGTGACTGTAAGTCACCACTTCAAACCCGACCAGAAGGACTCCATGAATGGCCTCTTTCTACAGAAAACGGTCTTTTGCGGAGAAATTGAGATATATAGGCACCCTCTTCACCTCATATTTCATTATCCAAAACTGAGCTGACAAAGAAAACAGAGTTATTTTTTTTAGACAAGTTCACACCTGCTGTCCTTGTCCCTGTTCTCAGTAATGAGGGGAATCCAGTGGCTCGTCACCTGTGGGAAACAAAGCGGTAGAGAAGATTCAAATGGAATAGATCATCACCCTCGAGTGTGCCACAAGTTTTACTGTTCAACAAACCCAATTATCGAAATGCTAGGCGCAGTGGTAGCTCACCTTTTCAATGGAGGTCTTGTTGTTGACAGAGTAGACAATGCAAATCACATTTGCCTATGAGAGAGACCAACACAGACACGCATTATGTTTACAGCTGAACTCGGCGTTTCTCTCGAGGGTTAACAGGAAAGCACAACGCACTGACTGACCTTGGAGATCTCCTGAAACAACTGCTCGTCGGTCTGCTCGGCCTCTGCAGGACAAAGATGTGTGCACTACAGTTAAAACCAGGATCTTCTTTCTCAATGTGTAACACAAATATACAACTAAAGAAAGAAACAGCCGCGGGCTTAACGTACCCGAGTAGTCCACAATGTGTGTGGGGACTCTCTCTGGTGTGACATCTGCAGGTATGGTGATTTCCTCAGCTCGGTAGGGAACCTGGGATAAACGCGAACAGGTCTATAAGATACGCAGACACGTTTGCAACCAGTCACAGGCACATGTCAATGGTATCAAACTCCACAGAGGCATTAGGTTCAAGGCATCATCAAGGTCTCTCCAACCGCTGACATAATAATCACTTCTCCTCACCACGGTTGGGAACTCCTCGCTGACCAGCGACATGATGAGAGACGTCTTCCCCACTTTGGCTGTCGAAGGAGGAAGAGGAGCGAGAGTTCAGTGCAAATGAGACAAGATTCTGAGCATCTGAGGACCTCTGCAGACTGTAGTGTTCACTACATGGGGAAATAAGCCTGCAATATCTTGTTCAGAGGTTGACACCTAAACATCCATTTAGAAGGAGCAACCTATTCCTAGTCTACGTACAAGACACAATGAAGTGACAGCAGATTGTCGTGTAATGAAATTTCTACCAACTGATTTAAAAAGCTATGGCTGATGCAGGATTCATTTATTATTTTTTCCTGCCTAGGTTAAGCAGTAATAACACCAATTGCCAAACATAAAATGTAAAACCGAATAACAGCCGTCACAATAAAGCAGAGGTTAAAACAATAAGGACGAGTGAAGTGACCATCATGAGACAGAGGTCTGGTTGTCAGAAGTCCTCGCTCAGCTGGCAGCACCAGTGCAACGTGAACACGGACGCTGCAGACCTAAACACTGTCGATGTATAGCTTTACTTACGCTCTCCCACCAACAATATCCTCACGTCCTTGCGCATCCTCTTCAGCGTCGCGGAACTCGGTTAACCGGCTCGTGTTGAACATTTACGCTCCTGTCTGGATGAAGGAGACGAGCAGCCAGCGCTCCTCGGCCTGGCTCGCTTGCTAACGGGCTACATTCGCATGTCAGCTCCGGTTTCCACTGGTTCACAACAGACGGTAGGTGCACCGTTCACACAGCTGTACAAACCGTTAGATATACGGGATACGGACACGGTGTTTTCACGAAACTCCACCCTGCGAGGCAGGAGTCAGTCAGGCAGTCACCGCTGCTACTGTGTTGAGCCTGCTAATGTCCACTCAGACCTGACTGGTAGAGCATTAGAGGGCGCGCGTGCTTTACGCTACGCCCCTTCTGACTGTGATGGGCGAGCAAAGATCGTATATTAGTAACAGAATCACATAAAAAAAACTACAACTCGCCCATCCATTATATTCAATCAATTATCATATTCCTATGATTCACTCGCGCAGGTGAGAGCGTTTGCAGTATTTTTCTTTGAAGTAAGGAATACAATATAATAAAACTGTGACTTCAAATCAGTGGTGTAAGAATCACTCGTATTATTCTAAGTAGCAATTACGTTCTATAAAAATGTTTTGAAACAGATGAAAGTCCTACTTTCTGGATTTCAGTGAAAGTACAAGTAAGGGCAAAGATGTGGGCAGGGCACACTCAGCTCACACTTTGGGCTCGGTGGGGTTTAAAGAAGCTTTCGAGAACCTCCAGGGAACATTCCCTTAAGTGTTGCTGTGGGGTTTCTAAAACAACTTCAAAGAACCCAGAGAGAACATTTCCTGAATGTTCTCTAAAGGTTCTCGGAGGGGTTTGAAAAACCTTTTAAAAAACGTTCAGGGTTTGTTCCCTAAAGGTTCTCTGGTTTGTAAACCTTTAGACAACATTAAGAGAACCTTTAAGGAATGATCCCTGAAGGTTCTGTAAATGTTCTCTGAAGGGAACGTTCCCTGAAGGCTCTCTGAACATCTCAAAAACAACCTTACTAAAACCTTAAGACAAGCTGAAGAGAACTTTTTCTGAAGGTGAATGCTCTTTTGAGGGTCACCAAAAACGTCCGGAAAACCTTTAGTAAAAGTTCTATGAACTTTTTCCGAAGCTTTTTAGAGAAAAGCTTCCTAAAACCTTTAGAGAACCTTCGGGAAATGTTCTGAGGGTTTTCATCCTTAGCTTTTTACAGCCATCAGGTCTTCTAAAAATTCTTCCAAAGTACATTCAGGGATTTGACTTGAAATGAGAGAACATGTATTTATTATTAGAGTATGTATTATTTATAATTCCTCAGTTCAATTTAAAAAATATCAATAAATATTGTTGAAATATTATTCAATTGAACTTTATGTATTTGATTTGACAGTCAGTTGCTGACTACATACATAAGTTAATACAAGGCATGCATACTTCAAATATATATGGCACCAAATCATAGCGCAAGTTAGACATTCTTGTGATGTTGCGGACCTTTGTATGAGGAACTCCAACTGGACCTCGTTGAATTGTAATTGAATATCCCTGGCGTAGAGTGAGACCTCTTACTTTTTCTCCCAAAAGAAAGAAAACCAACGGCAGAAACCATAAGTTTAGCTTAGTGTCTGTAATAAGCACACATTTATTTGCATAATTGCACCACATGCACACTATAAACGTGAATAATAAAGGTCTTAAAAAGGCCTGATATAATCAACTGTCATCTGTATCTTTGTTACTGAAGAGGAATATATACACCTCTAGAATTCATAAAAGCAGGAATAAACTGTATACAATTTATTAGACATTATGAAAAGCTTTCATGAAACGTAATAGACAATTAAAATCAGTGTGAAAAAAAATGAAACTTATCTTTTCAAAATGTGCAAATTGAGTGAAATATAAAATACAAAATAACAACAGAACAATTATACATTCAAACTTATTCTCGCCTTGTTTTTTAATAAATACAACATTTGGTTCCAGTGTAGTTTTGCAAAGGATGACTTGATGTTATTCTGGCAACGACAATGCAATAAATTCAAGCCTCTGAGCGGCAACTTCTCAAGGCGTCATCACTGACGCAGTCCGTGCAGTTGTGTCATTAAAAGTGAGTTTGTCTCCAACGTTTTTCCTCACTGACAGGTTCAGGGGTATCTTTTGGAAGCAGAAGCTTTCAGTCTGTTATGTCCCAAAATTATACTTATTGCATCCTGAACTCCTGCAAACCAACAGGTAGAACTGCTCCAGTCATTTCCCCCTTGTCATGTTGGCTTCGTCTATATCAAAGAAAGAAAGGAAGGAAGAGTTAGCAGTGGATATTCACATGTGGGAAACACTGGAAGATCCTTATTGATAACAACAGTATCTTACTCGCGTAGTCCTCTGGTGTCATAGGTTGAGAGATGACCTTTCTGAAGGCCTCCAACCACTCCTTCTGTTGCTGCTCCTGCTCGCACATAAAAACAAACTCCCTGTCCGGTGTGTGCAGCGTGACGCCGCAGTGCCACCGGCCTCCTCTCGCGCACCGCCCGCTGCTCTCTGAAGCGGAGTAGCTATGGCCCTCCGTGCCAATGAAGACCGCACCCAACTCAGTGGCATCCTAACGGGGAAAACAAACTATGTATTGTTTCATTTTTATAATCAGGCAATTCAATATCTGCGTATTTTGCTGGAAATGTTGTCCACTTCCAAAATATTACCCTACATTTGATTTGAATGCATAAACGTTGTAAATATACACATAAATGTAGTTGTCTAATTATTTACACAGTCACTTTATACAGACATTGTAGACTATGTGGTTGTTATCTGTTAATTACCAGTGGACTTTTAAAATATAGAAGCTTTCTGTTCATTGAGCACAGTGTGAACCACCTCTTCTTAAATGGCTCTCGATGCTGAAAACACACAGATGAATACACACACACACACACACACACACACACACACACACACACACACACA